TGGTGGGAAGTTCGCGGGGACGACGGGGAGGAAGTGGGGGTAGGTAGCGATGCATCCCTTCTACTGTCACTGGAAGTTCCTCATAGCGAATGATCTGGTGAAAACGAGGGAAGCGATCGCCGCTACGAGGGAGAGAGGCGAGGTAGTCGCGGTAGAGGGAGGAGAGGGTGCCGAAGAGCGCTTCGCGAAAGGAATCGTAGTAGCGACAGGTGGGGATCGTCCCCGTGGCTACGCAGTAGACTTCTGCTACATTGCACTGCTCCCACGCAGCGCTGAACAATAGGATATGTAGACAGAACGTGGGGGCAACGGGCTGAAGGGAGTGGTGGGGGTAGACGGTAGCGATTAGGCGCGTGGAGTAGAAATCTCGGAAGAGATGCGGAGGGAAGGGGTAGCGGGGGAAGGTGACGGGGGTGTGGATCTGCTCGAGGGTGAGGTAATCAAGGGGACGACGGGATAATGAACGGGGACGAAGGCCTATCCCTCGCATCGGTACGTGGACGAACTGGGGGACGGGTGGGGCTGGAGGGGGAGGAGGATCGACTCCGTCTCCGCCGTGAGGTGCTTGGGGTGGCGGCTGCTGGGTCGCCATCTTCGGGTTTCGGTGGCTCCGGATCCCTGGTTGGATCGTCACCGATGCGCAGGCTTGCTCCGCTGGCGAACTCCAGCTGGCGATTCCGGGTGGCAATTTCTTCCCGCTTGCGCGCTGCCTCAAGATCTTCCGCCTCCGTGCCAGTACACGTCGCTTCCTCCGCCAAGGCTTCCCACTCAGACCTGGTTTCTTCTTCCTCTTCTTCTTCTTCGCTCTGCTCGCCCTCGCTATACTCGCTATAGCTTCCCTCTTTCGATGTTTCCTCGTCGTCGCCACTTTCCTCCCCTTCTATCACCACCTCCTCTGCCTTCGGATAGAAAGCGTGATCGATGATGCCGTATGGCTTCAGATACTTTTGCTGCGACGGTAAAGAGTCTTCGTCCCCAGGCTCTTCCAAGCATGCACTCCACTGGAGATACGGATCCAACGTTCGCGTACGTGCGGAGCGGGGCTGTCGTCGCTTTGCGAAACGATGTCAGGAGAGAGATCGTCCGCCAGTTGCACGATCGGCGCGATGAGTTCTTGAGCGATTAGTTGGCGATGTCCCGGCCGCATCGATCCGAAGAGAAAACCGAGGAGATCACCCTCCACGTTAGTCCTCCAAGCTTGTATGATCAGCAATTCCAGATTTTCGAGACACACGGGATGCTCGTTGGTCCGCGTCCACGTCACCTGCACTCGAGCCAAACACATGGACAGTTCGACAAAGGTCACGCGCCAAAGTTGCCAATGCCCGGGATTAAGAAGCGGGACGGAAAGGGGTTCGATCGAGAGGGAAAGATGAGGATGAAGATCGGACTGCCAGAAGGTAGGGAAAAGAGAGGGGAGACCGAAGATGGAGAGAGGAGCGAGCGGGGCGGCGCGGTTCATCGGGGGCGTGGGAAAGCAACGAGGGTGGGGATCGCAACCGCTAGCTCGCGCGGAGAGAGACGGACCCCGTCAAGATCAGGTGCAAATGTCGGGATGAGATTGTGCCCTGGTCGGGCAAGACCGTGCTGCCACACGTTGGACACCTGCTCCATCCACTCTCGTAGCGAGGTCAAGATCGCGGTATGCCACAGTGGATTGACCGAACTGATGTCGCCGCTGAAAGCTGCGACCGTGGTGATGTGGCTCGTTCCGGGAGCCGCTCGTCGATGTACCGCTACCACCTCCGCCAATACTATTGCCTGCGGACTCCCTTCGAATCAAAACGCGGCGGGTGCACACACACCCACGTCGCAGAAGAACTGCGCCAGACGCCGAAGATCCGTACTAAGCCGTGGATGACGAACTTGTCGAATTTCGGAGATGTGGCCACGTGGCTGCAACAGTTGATCATCGAGAGCCCGCTCCGTGATGAAGCTCATGGCGAGGACGGGGAGGAAGACGAAGGGCAGGAGGGAGAGAGCAGAGAGAGAGTTAGATCGTCGTCGTTCTCCTCGCCTTCGGAGGAGGAAGAAGGGGGAAGATCAGAGGGAGGGAGAGGTCGGAGGTAGGAGGTATGTCGGACGATGGGGACAGAGCTATGGCTGGTACTAGCCTCGGGCGCGATGCGCACCTTGTTGGCGTCGTTAGGTCCGAGCTCGGCAACGCGAAAACAGCCAGAAAACTTGGGAGCGAGTTTCCGATCGCGTGCAAATTTACGTACCTGCACTAGGCCCCCTAATTTATATTGATGCTGGGGCCCAGCATTTCCATTTCGAGCCTCATAGCTACGGACCTGCCGACCGTGGGCCAGATCGGTCATCCTCTGTCTTTTTTGGGCTAGCTTCGGGACAACCCGTTCCATTAAATCGGTATACCTTTTGGCTTTGGGCTTGAGGGCGGCACGCGTGTCTCTACCCCCTGCTTCGGCACTTTGCGAGTTGTCCCAGTAGTTGACACAGGGGAGGCTATTAGTGCGAAGCTGAAAGGGGGTGAACCCCGTGGACTCATGAGGGATGGCCCGGTGAATTTCGACGATCTGATATACGATCTCGGGCCACGGACGCGTGTCATGTGCCGCTAAATTCCTGCGAAGGGCGTTTTTAATCATACGGTTGGCATTTTCGACCAACCCGTTCGACTGAGACACGTGGGGTGCCGTATGTCGGAGCGTGATGCCCCTTCGCACGAGCAATTCCTATACTTTGCCTTTGAATTCGGACCCATTGTCGGTCAGAATTTCTTTCGTATCTAGATGGGTATAGAGGAACCGATCGATGTACGTGGCTATTTCTGCGGCCTTGCGGGTCTTGCAGGGGTAGACCTCAATGTACTTGGAAAAATGATCTATTAATACTAAAAGGATAGAATATTCACAACGATTTGGGCCAGGTGGCACGTCAATATCTGTCGTGTCCATACCGACTTGCTAGAAGGGGCATTCTACTTCCGTTGGTACTATTGTGTTCGGTCCCCGTATTGGGGTGCGATCAGCGGCACAGACCAGACAGTTGGCAACAACGTATCTAACATCATCTCGTATATTGGACCAGAACCGATGGTTCTGGTCTATAGTTGCCTCCGTGACACGTATTGCGAAATGAGCGGCCTGCTCTTCGTGAGCAGATTGGGTCCAATCATATCTCTGAAATGGATGAGGAACCGTCAACCACGAGCCCGATCCGTCAGTTTTACGCTTCTCCAAATGATCGTTGATCCATCGATAGTCCCGAGATCTCTAGGTAGCCCTACGTCTGTCGTGTTTGGTGACGTGACCCAATGATAATCCCGCTAATTTGGCTAATAAAATTTTATCCGTCCAAACCTCAGCTCGACGGTATTTCTCGTCATATTCAGGTCCGTCCGTTCGGGCGGCCTTGAATCGAACCTCTGTGGGAAGTTTGGCGGTTCTACATAGGGGGCACCTCCACTCCTTGCTACTCGTCCGATAGCGAACGCAAGCCCTGTGCGCACGATTGACACACGTGGCACATTCTACCCAATCGACAAACCCGGTTTCGAAAGGATGACAGTCAACCCCATAAACCCGTGCAATACATGTACAAAAATAGCAGAATTTTTCGGGGAGGGTGGCAAAGAAAGCGGAGGAGGTGAGAGGGGCAAAATTAGTAGGAGAAGAGGGGGTCGCAGAGACGGGTAGGGTAGTCATGATGGCAGAGAGGGAGAGATGGGACTGAATTGCAGAGGGGGCAAAACAAAAAATGGACCCCGTGTCACTTACTCCTTTGACAGGATTTCCACTTGGTCGTACCGAGGTCCGTTCTCCTTCTTCGGTTCGTTCCACGGAGTCACCTCCTCATTCTTTGGAACCTTCTCAGGTCGATGTAGTCGTGTCAATCCGTCCGCATTCCCGTGCCTTTCGTGTTTCCGGTGACGAATGTCAAAGTGCATGCTCTGCAACACCGTTGCCCATCGCCCGATCATGCCCGAGTAATCCTTAGATTTCTTCAGGGCTAGCAGAGGCTCATGATCGGTTACCAATATGAACTTCCGCCCGTACAAGTAAGCTCGAAAGTGACTGATTCCCCAGAGAGCCGCGTAGCATTCTCCTGTTGGAGCGGCGTAGTTACGCTTGCAGGCGGGCACCGATTTGGACACATACTCCACCACGTTCTCAAGTCCGCTTGGTGCCACCTGGGCCAAGATCGCCGAAATTGCCTCTAGCTGCCAGTCAGTAATGAGGACAAAAGACTTTTCGGGATCCGGCCTTATAAGAACTGGGGCCGAAATGAGGGCGGCCTTGAGTTCCGAAAACGCTTGATCACACTCCGACGTCCAGATCAACGGCTGGTCCTTTCGCAGTAGATTCGTGAGGGGTCCCGCAATCGCCGCGAAGCCCTTGACAAACCTTCGGTAGTACAAGGCCAGACCCAGAAAGGCGCGAACCTGCGTAATAGTCATAGGCACCGACGCATCTCTGACAGCTGCCACCTTCTGCGGCTCCGGTCTAAGTCCCTGGTCTGTTACCACGTGTCCCAGGAAGGAAATGGTGGTAAGGAAAAACTGGCACTTCTCAAACGCCACCTTGAAGCCAGCATCTCGTAGCACATGCAACGCCCATTCTATGTGTTGCACGTGCCCTTCGTAGGAACTCGAGTACACCAAAATGTCATCCACGTACACAATCACGCAGTAGTTAATGACATTTATGACACTCTGCGCCAGACGAGTCTTCCGCACAAAGTTATGAAAGGCCATGTTTATGGCTCGCTGGAAAGTTGCGGGAGCATTGCAAATGCCCATCGGACATCGAATCCACTGCCACGTACCTTCGAAGAGTACGAACGCAGTCTTCGGGGGATCTTCTTCTCGAACAAGAAAATGATGGAACCCATGGCGAACATCAAACTTGCTGAAAATCGAGCACTCCCAATCGCATCCAACAACTCGTCAATCCGGGAGAGGGGGTACACATCTTTGATTGTGATATCATTCAACTTTCGATAATCGATGCAGATGCGAATCCCTCCGGCCTTTTTTGGCACAATTACTACGGGAAAAGACCATGGTCCTATAGCGGGTTCGATCCATCCATTAGCTTCGAACTCTTTGATCTGCTGAAAAGTGGCCGCTCTTTGAGCTGGTGAGTACCTATAAGGAACGCAGTTAATGGGTGGATGATCCCCCGTGAGAATGACATGTTCAATCACGTTAGTTAGGCCAATATCATTATCGTGCACACTCAATACCTCTACGTAGGCATTCAAAACACTGATTAATGACCTTCGGAGTTCCGTGGGGACGTGGTTCGGTAGGGTGATTGTCGGTTGTCTAGGAATCTGAAGGGGTATGTCGACCGAGTCAGTCGGCCGCCCGACGATCGTGGGGGGCACTGGAGAAAACGGAACTACTGGTGCGAACAGAGAAGACAGTCGCAATCATCTGCGACTCAGCAGGGTCGCTTCGGCATCAGTCTCCGAACCGGCCATAGTTTTTTCCACAGTAGCCCGGTTAAATCCGTCATCTCCTGCATTATATCGGGCACATCTCCTACTGGCGCTTCGGCCTCTTGTTTACCCAAAGCGATGGTCTCTCCCATTGTTAGTAAAGATCTTGGTGGGAAAACAGAAACATCCACATATTGTTCAGTCTGTTGGTAGCGTGCTCGTAAGGAAAGCGCTCCCTCGTACAAGGTGCGAGGGGGGTTCCAAATCATCTGCTAGGTTTGATACTTGCAGGATGGGTTCCCCGAGGAGGGTTGAAGGACTGATCCGGGTTTCCAGAGGCGCGAGCGCGATGTCTTCCGAATCCACGTGGAAGCTTCGGGCGGTTCTGGGGCACACTCGAAACTCTTCGGGGATTTCGTGCTCGAAAAGTTCGACCAGATGCTTCCATTCATCCTTACTAGGCATTTCTTCTTTGTACACCTGTCTCCGATTCCGCTACTGATGTCCGAGGAAGAAGGTTCCTCAGGATCGAGGCCTTGAATCATCCCTATTTGGACAGAGTTAAGAGTTCGTTTTATCGTCCGGGTGGAAATCCGCAAAGGGACAGTCTGAGGCTTTCCCCCAGTTTGCGTGAACACCAGTTGTTTGGAGTCGAAATGCAGACGAGCACCTACCGCCATCGCCCAAGGTAATCCTAACAACACAGAATAGGAGCGCACATCTATCACTAGTGCATTAACAAGGACGTGACCTCGTCCGACCTTCACAACCACATTCTCAATAATACCTACTATGTTCATTACTTTCTCGTCGGCAGAGACATAATTGTCTTTGCCAGATTGAGGAAGAATGGATCTGAGTCGTCCTGTCTTTCTTACTGTGTCTAAAGATATGGCCACTGCTGAAGACTCAGTATCGATAAGGGCGTTAAACGATTTGCCCCAAACTTCACAATCATACTCAACGCTTTTCCACAACACTGGTCGAGCTTGTACGAAGTGATCCTTCTCTGCCAACGAAATCGCAACTACTCGTGCTGCTTTGGGTTCACCTGTTTCAGGTTCAGGTGGTGCAACCTCCTCGCCTCCTTCCTTTTTCTTCAACATTCGCTGTACTCGCTGGTACGTGAAGCGCTTCTCATTTTTCTGACAATGTTGCAGGAGTTTATCGTTTGCAGCTTCGGAGATGGTGAGCAAATGCCCCACCGGGATCGGAACACGGATATCCAGCTGCTTAAGCGCTCGTAATACATCAATTTCTCCTGTCCGAAACTGTGGACCGGGATTGGATTCGCGATCGACCCATTCAAGATCATCATGGGCCGATCGGATCACTCCGACCATGCCGGCGAGATGAAGGTACTCGAGTGGATCGACCACGTCAGCAGCGTCGGAGGAAGAAGAAGCTCCCGAGGTTGAAGCAACTGCCGCCGAGGGGGAGGGTTGCTCATATGCAACAAGTTCCCCTCCTTGGGCCGTGTCCATCAGTGCGGCCACTCGTCCTTGGTTCAGAGCTACAGGGGCCACGACTGATGGGGGTTGATTACGTTTCGGTTGCGGACAGTCCCGGGCGAAACGTCAGGGCTGTTTGCAGTTAAAACATTCGACCTTTCCTGCTGGATTAGCTGGGTGAGGGAACTGCGATGCGTACCCGGGTGCAGGCGGGGTAAGCAAGAGAGGAAATGACGCAGGGGCAGGTCGAGCAGGGGCCGGGTTGGGCTTAATTAGCCTGCTCATTATCTGTTTCATTCGCTCTATGTGAGCTGCCTGCATTTGGACTAGGTTGCTCATCCATTCAGATTGCTTGGTGGTGGCCGTATGGATCATTTGTGCAAGATGTAAGTTTGTTATGGCTAGAGGGGGAGGGTCATGAGAGATTATGCCCTTGACTGGCATGACTGCCGCTATCGGTTGATTTATCGGGGGAAGGGAAGAAGGAACCGATGGGATGTCAGAAGCGGTCCCGTCGGGAAGGTCATGGTAAGGTCGGGGATAAAACCGTTCTACCGCCCGTAACCACGATCGCCTTTTAGCCGCTACATCTTGTATTGTACCCGTAATATCCTCGTCTCCCTGGCTAATATATTTCTTTGTATCAGCCAGGTCTAACTCCAACGCTTTAGCGATGATAGCGGATAGCTGGTGTGTTTTTGGAGGGAGTTTTTTCTGTAACTTCCCTTTCAATGTCGGACTTCGTAGATGATTGATGAACAAATCTCGAGCGGATTTCTCATCTCGACCAGATTTATCCAACGTGGTTTGAAATCGATCCACGAAATCGGGCAGCAATTCCCCTGGCCCTTGCGGCCGAGTTTTGAGCACGTACCAGGCGACATCTTCACTGACCGTATCGAATCGGGCCAAGAACGCTTGTTTGAAAGTATTCCAATCTACCCACGTGTGCACGTGGGTAGATTGGAATACTTTCAAACATGCGTCGTATTGCGAAGCAGCAAGGTAAGAACGCCGGGAAGATCACCCGCGCTATATCCTTGAGCTTCGATGACTTCCAACCAAGGCTCGGGGTAGGTATGGTTAGGGAAGAAGGGGAAAGGGGCAGGAATGCTAACAATCACCCTAGGGGGCGCTACGTTACCGTATGCCATTGGCATGGCGGGTGCAACTGCACCAGATCGAGACCTGGTCACTGGGCGGTCTCTACGAGCTGGTTGAGGGTATTTTCTTCCTCTCGCCAGTTCGACTCACTATCATCAGAAACGACACGTGTCGGCTCCGATACCAACCTCACGCCCTGTGTTATCTTTCGTTCGGAGTGCTAGAGGTGCGGAAAAGGGGCCCAAAAAAACAGCAAGATGGGGTGTGCCAAGGATTTTTGGAAATTGAGTGTGGGGGCACAAACGAAACTGAAATCCCCCGTGTTGCTCCGATGAAGTAAGTCGACCGTTTTTTTGCGCGTCGCAAAATGCGCGCGGGAGTTCGACGCGAAAGGAGAGAGAAATACAAATTCAATCCAAAAAATATTGTCGGACTTCCCACCGTGCTACGGCCCTTCGTTTAGAGCGAAAAGGCTTTGGCACGCTTCGCGTGTTTTGTCTTCATATTGAGTCCCGACGTCGTTCATCAATAATGACAAACCCAGCCTCTACGAACCCTGAACAACGATTTTCCGGAGGGAAGTAATATCGTTCGCCGATCTGTGCGACAGCTTCTCGTACGTCCCACTCGCATACACGTGTCCTTTCCTCGTCGTAAGGAAAAGGTCGCGTTGATACGGGAGATACGGGAGGCTGACGCTCGATCGAAGGGCGTTTGTCGGTCCACATGTCAATCAATTGCAAGAATTCCGAGACGTCATCAAGGAAAAACACCCGCATAACCACCAATCATTTCTTTTCGACACGAGAGAGAGAGAGAGAAAACACTCATCAACTGGATCATGCACGTAACTGAGGGACCGACCCGCACTCAGGTTTAGTAAGCCACCGCGACGTTGGCCCAAGGCGCCTTGTTTCTCGAGGTTGTCCTGTAGATCGGTTGCAGATGTCGTGCAACATAACGCAGATGACATGCGCAGTGCATTCAGAACTACAGATCTAAACATTCTTGCATTCTCGAACAAAATCCCGCCGAGTGCTGCGTCTAATCAACACAAAAAGGCAAGCATCTCCCTACATACATTGACTGTGGAAGGTGCGAAAATGACAAGGGTGCACAGGTCGGAAATCAACCGAGGGAATTGTACACACGCGTCCACCGTTCACAAGACAAGAGGATCGATTCCTCGACATCCGGGGATTACCCATGAAACTAATGGCAGAGTTCCGGAAGAAGTTCCTTCACACAGGAGAGCACACAAATTCATTCCCATTCATGAGCGGGACAAGCATTAAGACACATCGTCATTCAAAGATAGAGGAGAGAGAGAGAGACGAGGGAGGAATGTCGAGATAGGAGATGACAAGATCCGAAAAGAGGAAGTTCGGCGTTGCCGCCGTACACTCACGTCAGAGATAAAGATCCACAACAACAAAGGCGCATTCGCCGTGAATTCCAATATGGCCCCGGGCCAACCACCCACTCAACTCCAATCATCGATCCTCATACCCGCACCGACGATCTCGGCCGTCGCGTGCTAACTCCCACCACTGCGATCGTCACCCCGCCGACGTAAACTCGACGTGGTTCGCCCAGATCCCACAGTCCGTCGTGGCGATCAAGCGCGCAATCGGTCAGCCTATCGTCAGCCCGACAGGACTTTCTGACTCGCATCAAACACTCTGCCTAGCCACTGCTTCCCGGAAGCTGGTTTGAGAGTCGAGAACGTAAGAGAGATTTGCGGGCGCGTTTGCGGAATTTATAGTGGCGAGAAGGGGGGCAAGGGAGAGAGAAGGCGGGGGGAGAATCAAAGTGTAAGAAAAGAAGCAGGAGGAGAAGACTTGGCGAGGAGCGGGCTACGGACGCCATGTTGATCCTTCGGAACTCTGAGCTTCGCCAATCAGATTTGTCGCACAATAGGCAGATCCTATCGTACCACGCGTCTGATTGGTGGGCGAGAGTAATCGAAGGATCGACCGGGCATCCGAGTCACGTTCGGAAGGCGAAGGGAAAAAGGGCGCGGGAAGTAGCGCAAGACGGGCCCAAGATTCAGATGATCAAGAAAGGGAAATGGGCGCGCAACCGATTAGAGCGGGAGAGAGAGAGAGGGAAAACAATTGCGAGAAGGGAGGATGAGAAGGGGGAAGGAGGAAAGAGCGCAGGAGAGAACGATGCGGGAAATAGAGTGGGGGGGG